AAAACAAAATTGCTAAGTAATCACAAAGAAATCAAAGGAAAAAAAAAACTTCAAGAGAAAATATTTCTCTTGAAGGGAAATGTTTTCCCTAAAATCAAAGGGAAAAAAAAACTTCAATCAGAAAATATTTTGAACCAATGCCAACACATCACAATGTGTGGGATGCAGCTAAAGCAGTGCTTAAAGGAAAATGTGTAGCTTTAAATGTACATGTTAACAAACAATAGAGCAGGGACTATCTTTTCTTCTTGTTCTAATTGCTTAATAGCTAGAATAATGTTCAGCATTTAGTAGATACCCAATAAGTATTTACTAATTGAATGAATAAATAACAAAAGGCTAAATGAGTAGAAAGATATCTAAATGCCAACAGAAAAATCTGGATGACAGACTGAATGATTTTCTGTTTGTACTTTCTGTTTTCTTAAAATAATCCACAGGTATTTTGGTTTAGTTATCAAACCAAAAGACTTGGGTCTTTTTCTAGACCCAAGTGGCCCTTCTCCAGGGAAAGAGGAGCATGAAAGCCAGCTGAAATCATGCATAATTGAGCCAGCGAGGGTCAGGTTCCGCTGGCACCCTGGGAACTGGAAGAGCATGAAAACAAGAAAGAAACACTGTCTCGTCGCCTGCCACTCGGAAAGCTTCTTCTCTACCGAGTTGTTTTAGGAGAGGGGGAAAGGCACAGATCTAATTAACTAACGGAATAAAGTGACTGTAACTTTATCAATTCCCAATGCAAACAAACTGCTTCCAGAATGAAGAGTGAGAGAAAGCACTGCTCCGGTGAATCAGCCCTGCTGGGGAGATCAAACCAGGCAGGAACCCTCCCACCTGAACTGCTCGCTCTCCCTGCCCAGATTGACAGAGTCGAAAGCAATGAGTGATCAAGCAATTTTTTCTTCTTTCTCTCTCCCCAGAAAGCTGCCAGAAAATAAAACCATTTTCTTCCCACACACAAGGATCTCATTCTGGTCTAACTGAAAATACAGCTTGTCTCCACGGAAACATATATATCACCAAGGCTCTAATACTCTCAACGAGTCCAGGCTAACATCTTATTCTCCTTTCTTTTCCCCCCATTCTGGGCCTGGAGCTCCCTGAAAATGCTAGTTTAAGCGGGGGGGAAGAGACCCCCGACTTGCTCTTCTTCTTAAAGTAGTAATTACAAATCAATTAACAGGACAAATTAATTTCTAGGGCATACACACATATAAATCATGAGCTTTGCTAAGTCACCGAGTCATTAAAATCATATTCAAATGTGCTTCTAAGTGAATTCAGAAACTCCTTTCCTGTAGTAAAAAAAAAAAAAAAAAGGTGACCAGGCAGGAAGGAACCCCATGCTACTGGGCCAGGAACTGAAAATGTGCCGGCTCAGGGCAGTGCCAAAAGGTGGCCTTAGGACGAGTGGCAGCTACAGGCCACCTGAATCCCAGGAACGCAGAATCACACCCGGCCACACCGCCCACCCTGTCAGCTTTCATGAGGGCTCAGAGCAATTTTAACACCTGCAGACAAAGCAAGGAGCTCTACACCACTGGTACTTAATAAAGCAGTTCTTTAGACAATCTTTGGCTCAGTAACAGACAGAAATGTGTCTTAAAGCCACAAAGAAGCATGGAAAACCAGAGGTTTGCAGAGCAAAAACTCAGTTTAAATGGAAAGGGGGGGCGGGATTAACAACAAAATTAACAACTGGCCCTGCAAATCTTATGAAGCAAATCTTCGTCAAATCTTCTTGGAGAAGAACCACCAAGGGAGCGCTGAGGCTACTCTGCAAAATCCCCATGCCTCCGTTCTGAAGCATCTTGTTCAAGGTTATCTAGGAAAGTCAGCACCGAATTACCCCTTAAAATGGTCTCTCCAAGTTTACTGCAGAAGGAAACTGTTTGTCTCCATAAATCTCACAGCTGACATTTGTACTGCAATCACAAGCAACATTTACCAAGGGTGAGACCCAGAAGAAAAAACACACCACATTGTTTTCTGAAAGCATGAAGGCTGGCACTCGGAGCTACCCACAATTAGAGGAACTAGCAGCCAGGCAGCTACAATAGCCAGGCTCCCTGGGGGGCTAATTTGCTGCTCGGGATCTGGGGCAGTTTAATCCCACTGTGAGATTTCATAATTCTGACTGAAGTATGGTCTAAAGGCTGCCTGCCCTGAGCAGAGGACATAACTCAAGGGGGGCCTGGTTTCTCATCTTAGGAGAGAAATTTTAACGCTAAGTGTTCTCTTGCACTAGGTCCTCAACAGTTGACAGTCCAGGGGAAAAAAGCCTTCGAGTTATGTATTTTCTTAGAAAGTAAAGCACTTTCTAATAATGAGAGCTTTCTAAAAATGGAATGCATCTCAGGAGATCGAGTTCCTCGACTGTGGACAGGGTCCAGGGGATGCTGATGACCAAGTGGCTCTGATGACACAGAAGGGACTCGGGCATGTAGAGAGACGGTTAGGTGACTCCCAGGGGCCTGTTCCGTTCGAGGGACTAAGAAAATGGAGGTGATTACCCACGAAACTCCAAGGGGAAAGAACACTCTTGCCTCAAGTCATCTAGTAATCATTTCAGGGAGAACTACGTGTAAGAATAAATCCGACTGCCCCATCCTCCAGAAAGACACACCCACATACCCCATGTACTTCCACACGCCAACCACACATGACTGGAATCCCATTCTCGCAAACTCTAGTTTCATCCAAAATTTTTGGAGAGAGCTGTGGGCTCAGGCTTCCCATCTATAGTGACCTTGCAGGAAATAACAGGCTAGGCAATGGCTTTTTCAGTAGAAGCATCTGAGATGCACTATTTGCATTTGTTGAGATCAAATGACCTGTCCACGGACAAAAAAACTACAAATACAACTGAGTCTCTCATCTGAGCCCCCCTGAAAACCCACAGAGTACTGGAAGACGGAGTTGGTAATGTGTTTCTTTCAAAGACAGAAACAAAACAAGGCATGTCATTGATCCAAAAAAAGGCAAGAGAGAAAAAGAAATATAAAATAGGTGTGTCAAATAAAAACGAAGAGTAAGATAGTAAAAACATACTGCTATTTTTACTACACATAGTAAACACCACATAGGTGTGTCCAGAAATGGGAAACTCTACAAGACAAATAACCCGATTTCTTCAACAAATAAACTGCGAGGAAGAAAATGGGGGAGGAGTAACCTACAGATGAAGACACAGACTGACCAAGTGCAACTGTGGGGACCTGTATGTATCCTGATTTGAATTAGCAACTGCTAAAAAATATATATGAAATGAGAAAGGTTCCGGCAAACTTGAACAGTGAGCAAATAATGTCTTAAAAGACTCATTTTTAAAAGTAATAGTACTCATGTTTTGAATAAAAAGATTTCTTAACTTTTAGAGATATAGAACAAAGTAATATAGAGACTACAAGTGAAGTGATACGTTATCTGAGATCTGCTTAAAAATAGACCCGTCTGGTGATGGGGGAGGGTGCACAGAACAAGAGATGAACAGGATGGGCAATGGGTTCATCACTGGTCCCAAGTAACACATACACAGGATTTATTACCCTCATTCTGTGTTCATTTGAATTTTATTGGAATATAAAAGACAAAGGAACAGAAGGAGAAAGGGAAGAAGGAAAGACCTGTAGATAGGTAAGGATGTGAAGAAAATGTTTGGGCAGGAGAGACTTCAAAATATTCACGTGGTGACCTCTTGGGTAATGGGATCGCAATGTTTATAAAATGTTATAAACTTATCAACTCCAGGTGGGGAGACTGCTGGTAATCTTAGCTTCTTTTGCTTCGCTATGTTTTCTAATTTCTCTACAGTGAAGAAATCGGAAAGTTGATTCCAAAACAGTTTAAAAGGACAGAAGAAAGACTGTCAGAAAAACACAAGAGCCTTCCACTTAAACCCACACACTTTAATGACTTTTATTTTAGGCCACGGCACCTTTGCAGAATCTGGTGAAAGATTCTACCTCTCTCCGTAGAAGAAATACACACTCCTACGGAATTTCTCATGCCATGTGAGGAACCCACAGGCATTCTCGCCATCGCCAATTTGCAGAGGAGGAGAAGACAGAGAGGTGGGGGGTACGCACAGGGTCCCATCGCTACTGAGAGCCCGCTGAGTGGCTGAGCCAACATACAAACTCACGGCATAACTCTAGAGCTGGGCTCGTTTTTGTTGTTGTTAGGATTGTATTTATTTATTTCAGAGAGAGGGAAAGGCAGTAGGGAGGGACAGAGGAGAGAAACATCCATGTGAAAGGGATCACGTGCCTCTCACACAGGCCCCAAACAGGCCCGCAATGCAAGCATGTGCCCTGACTGGGAATCCAACCGGAGATCTCTGGCTCTGCGGGACGATGCTCGACCAACTGAGCCACACTGGCCAGGGCTCGAGCTGGGTTCTAACTACCATATTGCATGGCCACACATAGAATTAAATCAAATATACCAAGCAAACATGACAGCCTGGATCATACTCTGGAGGTCATGTCTTCGAATTCAACTAACACGAAGTGACTACCATGTGCCAGACTCTCCAAACCCATCAGCCCACCCAGCCCGCACCGCCGTGATGTAAGTGGAGCTGAATGAACACCCAGCTGGAGAGTCAGGAGTCGAGCCTGACGTCTGACCTCAAGTTCACCATACCACACTACTGATTTCCTTACAGTTGGGGGGATGGTCGAAGTCACACGTAGCCTCCTCGTAACCAAAATCTTTTCAAGATCACTGGTTGGAGGTCCAGCTCAACAGTTCAACTGGTGGACCCTAAAATTTCCCCAGGATGCAAAGTAATCCAGTTGTTGAGATGCGCCCTCGTGGCTCTCCCTGAGCCAGGTGAGTGACACATCTCAGATGGAGACATGCTTCCCGAAGTTTGCACCTGAGGCTCCGTACACAGACAGAACTGCATGCACACCGTGAAGACGTCACCCTCGCGCACAACACGGCCTGCACGAACACGCACGAGCACACTACACGAGAGCCAGCACAGTGCTTACGGTTTCACAGTTCAAGCATCGAGTTTCGTTGGTGAGCGTTCCCTGAAAAATCTCATGGACCCAGGTGAGTTCTGGTTTGTTATTCTCGGCAGGTTCGTTCATGTTGCCGTTTTTCAGTTTCCCATTTTGTTTCTCCTGTTTCTTCTCTTCCTGCAGGATGTCCGCAATAGTGTTTAGCAAATAATTTAAAAACTCGTGAGCATCCTGCTGCATGTAGTTATCAAAGAGATCTGGAAAGGAGAAGGTCATTGTTTCAGTCTCGGATTCTCGAAAAGCAAATGAAACGCTCAACTTTACAGGCCACTCTTCAGTGTTTATATTGAAAAGGATGGGCGGGTTTGGAATATGTTCATCTCCACTCTGTAACTTCAGCAGGTAAGTTCGAAAAGAATTTTTGGCCATTTCTCTTTTGTAGCAGCCACCAAGAAACTAAATTTCCTGTGTTTCCCTAAAGTCATTATGTAAATAAAAGCCACCTAAATATTTTTATTCTACAAAAGGAGAAGAAAAGTAGCAAAAATAAATTTCCTGATAAAATATCAATATTTAATATGATGTGACCACCAAGGACCACTTATTTATTCTGTAAGTTACCCCAGCAACTGGGGTCTCTTCCCAGAGATCACGTCAAATTCTGGGTCAGCCCGGAAGCAGCCTGCATGAAGCACGTAAGGGAGATGAGGGCCGTTTGGGAGAACGTATCTATCAGACAGTGTTCCGAAACCAAACGCGAAGGCTTCCGGAAGCCCACTGCTGTTTCCTGCCACGCGGACACACAGTCTCGGGATGAATGCAGCTGTGAGGCCTCATTATTAATCATGTTCACAATGAGACTCCGGAGAGCTCTGCCTCCTTCTCAGATTATTTTTATTCTGGTCTGTATAAATTACAACAATTTTAAAAGACAGCAATCAAATTAAATGAGACTTTATAAAACAAACATCTGATTAACTACAAATCTGGTGGAGTAAGGCTGAAATCTAGGATAAACACAAATATCAAGTATTTTTCTAGTCACAAAAATTACCAATGCAAGACTGGAATAAACTAGTCTCTACTGCCACTGCCCCACCCCCCAAAATATATATAAAATGAAAAAAAATCAGGTGACAGCAAGACATTTTATCATTCAAAGGTTATCAATTTAATATCTTTCAATTATCTTAGGTAAATAAAAATCAGAGGTATTATTTTTAAAACAGAGGCTCTGATTAGATAATATGCATTTACTTTAATCACTTATGACAAGTTCCTAAAATAGTACTATTTTATTCAATTACTGCATCAACCTATTTCTTCCAATGAGTTTCCTGCTTAGAAGGCTGCCTTGGGCAATTTTCCCTCTTACGATGGTCTACCCAGGAAAAAAAGGCCCTCCAACTGTGAAGCGAATAAAAAGACCATTCCACACTGAGATGACAAATCTGAAATTTTTAAGCATATTTATTTATCCAGTTTCGCTTGTATGCTAAGTGGAGAAAGAGAAATATCTTTCCTTTAAAAAAGTATGTTTCAGCAGTTGGCCATCCTATCTTCCCCTGGGGGAGAAAAGGGGTTCATTCTGAGGACACACCCACTGTCGATTCTCCTTATTCCAGGCCCTTCCACACATTCACCCCACGCCACTCACCATTCTCCTTCCTCAGCCTCGAAATGAACTTCTTGGGTGGGATCACTCCGACCTTCTTCTTCTGCGTGGCGATGCTGTGGAAAAGGTCGGCCAGGCACGTCAGCAGGTTCTCCTTCTTTTTTTGCTGGGCCTTGTACGCCAGCACGTTCTCCCGGAACGGCCGGCAGAAGTACAAGGCCTGAAGCACGGAGTTACAGTAGCAGGTGTTCCCGAACTGCCAAGGGACAACAGGGACGCTTCAGATCCCAGTCGGGGGCAGGCCACCGCCGCCGGCCTCCGCCAACCGGCCTGGGTGTCCCTGGGCTGGGGTCCTGCTCACCAGGTAGGGACCCTAGTGAACCGCTCGGAACACGGGTGGCTAAGCTGGTCAACAGGGACATGAACACAAGTTTACACCAGCCTGGTGCCTCTCTAGCCCACCACCATCTCTGAAATATAGTAAGTACTCTGCCCAGATAAAATATAAATTTAAAAAAATCTAATAAGACCTTCTGATGCTTAAAAAAAATAGAGAACAAAAAACCTGACATAATCTGGGGACCCAGAAAAGCAACTGGCTAAATAAAAGACGCCACAGGACAATACATCCAAACTCCCTGAGGACAAAAATAAAAATCCAGATCAACAAAAAATCCAGGGACCAGGAAAACACCGTGCTCTGATGAAACAGCCTTCACGTAACCGTGTCCTGTTTCAGTTCTTCTCCCTCCGGGCCCAGCGTCCCTGCCCACGGGCTCCAGACCAGTCTCCTCTCCTCCTCGGGAGCCCGGCGGACAGGCCTCCTTCAGCTGTGCCCCTGGCTCCCTCCCTCGCGACTCCCCAGGTGCCCTTGACCTTGCTTCTAACAGGACCACAATCCAGTGCCGCCCAGTGCCGGGTCCCCTACAATCACAGGAGGGCCTGCACAGAAATATTTTGTGCTCTCAGCCTCCAGAGACACCGCGATGACAATTAAAGAGGGAAGAGTCACCCCCTCGCTGGTTTGTACTGATTGGAAAACCAACTCTGTGGAAGAACAGGGCGGAGGAGATGATCGCCTCAGAATTTCTGCTACACAGTGGAGAGAAAGAACACTCAGGAAATAACAAGATTAACATCACTGGTGTCGAAGTGCTGTGAAAGATTAAAATAGAACACACGTGTCTTCTCGGGATCAGAGGCCGGCCTGCGTGCCGCGTACCCAGGAGCCAGACAGAAGCTCCGGCACACTGCCAATGGCATTTCTAAGGTGTGCTAAGATAGAACAGTTCCTGCTTTTCTACTTGTCTTAATCTAGTTGGACACAATTATGTAAAAGGAGACAAGCCTCTTTTTAAATTAAAGTTGGAATTTTCATGAGTTACTGTTCGAAGGGAACCAAAAGCTCTCAATAAACTTGGATCTCACAACGCTCCCACAAACTAGGAAGCAGCCTTACTCTTCTCCCCAAAGTCTGCATTTGTACGTTCCTTAGCCAGGGCAGAATCCCCACAACTTGGATAACTATCCTCATAGAGCTTAAGCAGAGGCCTGCGCACAATGGCTGTGTATTAAAAATTAGGAATATTAAATGTGTATTAAAAATGTGTACTAAAATTAGGAGTCAGTACTTCATCAGCACAATGCTCTATCTTCTAGCACAGCAGCCTCCCTCCTTCCACTCTTTTCTCTGTTACACAATGTATTGCCTTTACCCACACACCCTTCAACAGTGCTTGGTCTTGATCCAGTGGACAACTCCTAGGGAAAATAAGAAACTAACGTTTACCAAGTGCCCACACGCGACCTCAGCCTCATGTCAAGGTCTTCAGTGGGCCAAGAGGTGCAGATGGGGGGAAGGGGGCTCAGAGAGGTCAAGTGACTTGCTCAAGATCACACAGCTGGTGAGAAGCACAGGCAGCACTCAGATGTAGGTACTGCTTGGAAGCCAATATTCTCTCCATTACATCACAGGCAGCATCCACTTGCAGAGAATACTTCCAGCCTCCCCACTGCAAACTGTGACCTATCACACCAGGGCACTGACTAAGCTCAGAGCACTCGTTCCAGAAAACAAAGTGCTTTTGAGTTAACGCTTGATGTCACTGAAAGCTCCACCTCAGAGAGAATCAGGTGAGGAAGAAAGCTCACAAAGGCGGTGGGTGATACTGCCTTCCTACGTGGTCATGACCAATTCACCCAGGAGGCAGCGCCTGGTGAGTCTGCTCACGCACAAGGGAGCTACTGCTGAGTGGGTACGATGAGGCCCAGGAATTCAGAGATAACTGGGCCCCACACACCACCCCTGCTCCAGGCACCACCGCCGAGTCGTATCCTTACACGGTTACTGGTGGCAAGCTGGTAACACTTTCAAAACTCTGACTGCACCCATGCGTACTGAGAAGACAACTGAGGAGTCTTTACTTGTGCAGATGGTAAACAAAGAATGTATAACAGCAGATTTGACTACAGAGGTTCATAAAACACCCTCTGAAAGTTAGGTGTACGAAGTTAATTCTTTAAAATACAGGCGGGAAAATAGTAAGAACCTGACCCAAGGATGCAGTAACGAAACCCTTCTTTCTGAGACAGCTCGCACTTTCAAAAACTGGACTAAATCTCCCCCTCCCTGACATCTGCCACTTCTAGTAACTATAGAGCATGAACAATTACCTAAAAATTGCTGATGAAAATGGCAGTGGAGTTGCTTCGAGGACTCTAAAATATCTGACAAGAATAGTACATTTTTTAAATACTTACGTTGACCAATCCGAAGTAGTGTTCATTGATTGGAAACTGCTCTGGACCAATGTCTTTTTCCAGAGCAGAGGCATTGGTGCCCTGAAAGAGAAAAATAACAAAAGCTCTGCGGCTTGAAGAACAGACAAGGAGGTAAAACGATACTGACAGGCCACCTGAGACAGTGCCGCCCCTGGGCGCCCCGGGGTTTGGGGCTGTTGGTAATGTTCCTGCCGAAAGGAAAGGTGTCAGAAGTAGCCCAGCTGTAAATCCTCTCCTCGTCCAACCCACTCTTCCCCATCCTGCTCCCTGGCTTCATTCATCTTCTGCTGGGACAGGAGGTGTGACACAGGCCAACGAGCGACCTGACATCAAGAGCTCCTGAAGCCCAGACGTGCTAAGCTCAGAGAGTGGCGGCAGCTTTGATAGTATTCAGCAGGGTGGGGAATCATACCGTCACTGTGAAGGTCAATGTCTTCATTCTGATAGAGGTTTATCACACACCCACTATGTGCTCTCGCGATAGAACGGCAGACAAAGAGGACACGACGCCTGCTCCTGTGGAGTCCACAGTTTAGTGGATGGAGACAGAAAGAGCAACAAGCACGCCGGACAGAAGGTGACACACGCAGGGGAGAAAAATACAGTAGGAAATGAGGCTGGGGCTCCAGGGCGTGTGGGGCAAAGGAGAGACATAGTGGAGGGGGCGGAAGAAGGTGGACAGATGCAGCTTTAAATAGGGTGGTCGGAGAGGACAGTGACATGGCCAAAAAATGTTGTAAGTAATGGAGAAATACAACGGAAAACCTAACAGTTCCCAAATGCACCAAATTGGTAAGCTGCGTGAACCGCTCCGACACAGGTCATAGTTACTGGTGAGTCCTGCCATGTGCCAGGGACTGCACTATTTATTCTCACTACAACCCTCCAAGGGAAGTACTGTTACGATCCCATCTCCCATTCAGAAACACGAGGCTCAGAAGGGCTGAGAATCTGCCCAAGGACCACAGTGGCAGAGGTGGGCCTGGAACCCGGGAGTCGGACTCGGGAGCCCAAGATCTTACCCAAAAGCTCCGCAGAGCAATCCTATCAAACAAAACCATTTCGTGAACCCTACTAAGGGCCAGGGGGCACCGCAATATCATGTTGCTTATCACTCCTCCCCAGGGCCTGGATGGGTCTGCTGGGATCAGGAAACCTGACCAAAGGTGGGTCAGGGAGGGAAGGAGGGTGGGGGGTGAGACGGGGCTCCCGGGCCCTGCGGCTCGGCCCTACAAGCCCCTCCTGCTCTCCGGCTACCATGGGTGACTCACGGCTGGCAGAATCTCAAAGCTTTAGGAGATAGGTATTTTAAAAAGAAAAAGAGACTGTTTAAAAAAAAAACCTGCTGCTGCTACTTATTCTGGGCTAATATAATTAGCATCTCCTGTCACAGGAAGAAATGGCGAAAATGTGGGCTGAGAACTAGTCAAAATGGTCACGTGTCAATAAGCACCATGAAATGCAAAACCACCCAATTCTATGCAAAGAGAACCGCAGCAGAAAGAAAGAGCACAGGCCACCCCTTAGCATGACATCTGGCTTCCCCTCGATTTCCAGGTCCGCGTGCCGTTCCACCGATCGACACTCCTTCACCCTTTACCGGAGGCTCCGACTCCCTGGTCACCCGTGTGTGGGGCGATGTCACCGCCTTCTGTAGTGTGTGCACACCCATGGTTTTCATCGCCTCCACAATAAAGTAACCCCATCTGCAAGGCTGAATTTTTTTAAATAATACATTTCACAATACAGCAGGATTTTATGGTATAGACAAAAATCACTAAAAATGTTCATAAAGCTACATCTCATCCACAGATCGATGTAAATAATGCATATTAAACACACCCACAGCCGTTTCTGAAGCAACACCAGTACATATGGCTCAGAGCCCAGAAGGAATGCCAGTCGTACGGGTGGAGACATGGCGGCAGGTCTCATTAAATCTTTCTTTAGGAGCCGGCCATATATTCAAGCTAATCCATGCTTTCCGCTGTTTGGGAGTTATTAAATTGAGTCCGCGTGAGTCTACCTATTCTCCTATTGGAGGGGGAGTTGGAGAAGGGGGTGACGACTCTTGCGAAGGACAGTGACCCAGGCGGCAGCGTGAAGAGAAACGCCCTGTCCAAACCCCTGCCTGTCTGTGGCCAGTGCTGACCAGCACCACACAAAGGCCTTCCTTCCTCCCGCCTTGGACGACCCCCCATTCACAGCAGGCACCTTCACGAAATCCCGCCTCCTGCCAGCCTCCCGGGCAGCTTCAGCCCCACACCCCGCTCTCTGCAGCTTCAGGTCCTCTTTCCCAACTGTCTTCAGCTCCACTACGGCCGCCCACTCACAGAGTCCCTGGAGCTGGCGACCCCCCAACACCCAGTCAGCGCTGCCTGCTGCCTTCCTGAAGCCCTCCTGCCGCAGCTACATACACTGTGACACCTCTACTTTCTCACTCGGCTTAGGGTCCACGGAATCATGATTTCACCTGCTCTCATAAACATCTTACCACCTGTCCTTGGTCATACAACCTGGTTAAAAAAAAACAAAATCAGTAAGAACCAAATTATCTACCTCCTCTGAACACCTACCCAGACAGATGTGCAACGCTGGGGGGAAGGTCACACGACTAAGCTCACTGATTCACCAGAATTCACCCACTTCAAGCAGGCCCTCCACACATTCCAACGCTTTCTCCAGGGCCTCCTTCCCGGCTCCGCAGTCACCGTTCCCCACTTTCCCCACTTTCCCCAAGCTCCTCAACACCTCGGCATTCCCTCTGCTCTCCTCACTGGCCTCCCAACAAGAAAAAAAAAATGTTTTTTAACCAGCAGAGAAGAACTCCAATCATTACATGCTCCCAAAACTCCAAAACTCTGTGCCTCCCCTGTTAATGCTAAAGAGGTTGGTCCTTTTGTCTAAGACCAAGCTCCTCTTTACTATTAAATCCTTCCCGTCAGAATTTAACATACTTAAGTGTGTCTCCTATTAAAAATACATACATACTCTCCCACACACCTCCCCCAGTCACCGTTTGTAAATGTTCTAAAACATTTGCAAATGAATCAGGTGATGGCTAAGATTTGTTTCCAATGACCCAATGGTGAGATGGGAATAAAATTGTGTTGTTGAAGCTCAGTGGTGGGCAGGTGGGACTCAACGCACTATTCTGTTTATACTTTTGCACATATGTGTACAGGCAGAATAACGGTCTCCCAAAGATGCCCATGTCCTCATGCCCAGAACTTGCAAGCACATTACCCTCCCAGGCAAAGGGAAACGTAGGTGGTAGGTAGACTTCATTTACTAACCAGCTGACATTAAAATGCGGCATTGTCTTGGATTACCAATGTCATCATCACAAGCATTCTTAAAAGTGGGGGACAGAGGCAGAACATTAGATCAGAGAGACGCAAGGTGTGAAGGGCTCAACTCGCCTCTGCTAATCTTGAAGGCGGAGGAAGGCAGCCAGGCAGCCTCTAGAATTTAAAGGGCAAGAAGACAGGAAGAACACAGCCCAGCACCGCCTTCACCCACTCGGCTTTCTGACTTCCAGAACTGTAAAGTAATAACTTTGTATCACTTAAGGGCCAAAGGTAATGGTAATTTGTTACAACAGCAGCAGGAAACTAATACTACATATACAAAGTTTTCTATACTGTTCTTCAAGACTTGTCTCCACTTCCTCACTGCCACCTCTGCCCCGAGAACAGCCCCTTCTGGATCCCACCCTAACTCGACCCCTGATGACCTCCAAACACTGCCTCCTGCAGGGGGCATCTTCGTTCCCCACAAACTGAGGCCCTCCTCCCTCTCCACAGGCCTCTCTCCGGGATCCAGGCAAAACCCATCCCCCATTCTTGCCTCGGCCCGAAACCTCACTTCCTAGCTGGTTCGGACAGAATGAGCACTGACTGACACTCAGGCTTGCTTGTCTCACAGGCAGTCGAAATCAATCTGCTCAAAACTCAAGCTTGGACTTCTCCTGCCCTCCCAAAATCGAATCTGCTCCTGGTGTTTCCCCATTTAATAAATGACAATGCCACCTCTTCCCGGCAAGAAACCTCAGGGTCGTGCCCGACATCGCCCTCTGCACTCCGCACCCATCCATCACACTGTCTTACTGACTCGCTCTCCTTAAAACTCTCCGATCCATTCCCTTCCTTCCAGTCCGAGGCCCAGCGTCTCTCATCTGAATTATAACAGCTTCCTAAGTAGCCTCCAACATCCACCTTACCCACCTCTAACCTCCCTGTCAACACAGCAGCAGAAGTGCTCTTTTTAAATACCCATCTACCTTAAAGCCACCCAGTGACTTTCACCTTTGCATCCAGCTTCGTTCCCTCGCCTGTCATTGGCTGCTACACTTGGCCTGTCACAATGGCCTCTATTCTGTTCTGCACAGACCTCAGGTTCCCTCCCACCCATCACCTGAAGGCTCCTCCAGGCTCCCTCACCTGCCTGCCACCTTTCATCCTTCCGGGGGAATTCTTCCATTTCCACCCACCTCGTTTTTGTCCATGTGTCCTTCATACTTGTTCCTGTGAATCCTTCCCCATTTCCCCTGAAATTCCCTCCCCTCTCCCCTCTGATCGCTGTCCCCCGTTCTCTATTTCAGTGTCTTGGTTATATTTAGCTTGTTTGTTTGTTTTGTTGATCAGGTTCCTGTTAAAGGTGAGATCATAGGGTATATGTCTTTCACTGCCTGGCTTATTTAACTCAATATAATGCTCTCCAGCTCCATCCATACTGTTACAGAGGGTAGGAGCTCCTTCTTTCTTTCTGCTGCATAGAATTCCATTGTGTAAATGTACCATAGTTTTTTGATCCATTCATTTACTGATGGCACCTAGTGCTTGCTTCTCTGGAATTCTTGACTGACCACTCCTGGGTTTGGGCAGTCCCAGTGACGAACAGAATCATGGTCCCCACCCGAAATGCCCACACCGAGTGGGAGCCTCTGCTGCCACGCCACTGGAGCCTGTTTCCGTGACAACAGGGCCTCTGTGGGTATGGTTAACTCGCAGATCCTGAGATGGGAGATTATCTGGATGATCCGGGTGGGCCGAGTAATC